CTTGCCATGCAGCTTGATTCCATTCTGGCTCAAGAGGATACTTATTGGCGGCAAAGGTCCAAGATAGCCTGGATGAAGGACGGCGACAGGAATACCAACTTTTTCCACCGAAGAGCATCCATTCGTTGGGGGAAAAATAGAATTGTTAAGTTGAAAGATGATAACGGTGTTTGGCATGAGGATGACTCGAGGATTGAAAAAGTGATAATTGGCTACTTTTCAAGAATTTTCTCATCCAATCATTCTTCTTTGGACGGGGAAATTCTTGACGATATCGACAACCAAGTAACAGAGGGCATGAATGCTTCCTTTATGCGCGAATTCGAAGCTGAGGAAATCAAGATAACAGTGTTCCAAATGCAACCCTCGACGACCCCCAGCCCTGATGGAATCCCCCCTCTGTTCTTTCAAAAACTTTGGAACATTGTGGGCGATGATGTCTCTACGGCTTTGCTTTCCTTCTTAAACTCAGGCAACCTTCTGAAGAAAGTAAATTTCACCTACATCACCCTTATCCTAAAAGTTAAAGCACTGGAAGATATGTCTTAACTCCGACCCATCAGTCTTTGCAATGTGTTCTTCAAAATTGCATCCAAAGTTATTACCAACCACCTCAAGCTCATCCTCCAACATGCCATCTCTCATCATCAGAGTGTTTTTGTCCCGGGCTGCCAAATCTCCGATAACATCATGCTAGCCTCGGAGCTTTCTTATTTCATGTTCAAGAGGTGTAGGGGAAAAAATGGGTTCTTATCTTCAAAATTAGACATAAGCAATGCCTATGACCGAATTAAGTGGGGCTATTTGAGAAACGTCATTCTTCAACTTGGTTTCTACAGGAATTGGGTGGATTTGATAATGACTTGTGTCTTGATGGTTTCTTATGCATTTATGATCAATGGCGTGCCAAAAGGGTATCTCTACCCGACAAGAGGGCTTCGGCAGAACGACCCGTTGTCACCTTACCTTTTTCTTCTATGTGCTGGAGGCCTTTCGACCCTGATTGCGAAAAAGGAACGGGATGGTCTCATCCAAGGTGTCTTGATTTGCTTTAGCGCATCCCAGATTAACCGTCTCCTGTTCGCCGACGATAGTTTCTTATTTGCAAAAGCAAATGTGGAGGAATGCCAGCAAATATTGCTCATCCTTCGCAAGTATGAGGCTGCCTCAGGACAGATGATTAACCTACAGAACGATGAAGTCTCATTTAGCCGAAATGTAAAGCGGGATGTCTAGGACGCTTTGGCGTCATACTTAGGGGTAACCTGGGTGGCTCGGCACGATAAAAATATGGGACTTCCAACATTGGTGGGACGGAACCATGGTCACTGTTTCAATTTCATAAAGGAACGTCTCTGGAAGCGCCTCCAAAGTTGGAAATGGAAGCTCCTTAGTTTGGCGGGACGGGAGATCTTGGTCAAAGTTGTCGCACAAGCAATTCCTCTATATGCAATGAACTGCTTCCTACTACCCAAATACTTTTATAATGACCTTAACAGCCTTGTGGCTCGTTTCTGGTGGAGTGGTTATGAGGAAGGTAAGAGAATCCACTGGCTAACCTGAGACAAGCTTTGCCTTCCCAAAAGTGATGAGGATCTTGGATTTTGAAACATTCGTGCCTTCAACCTCTGGTTGTTGGCTAAACAGGCTTGAAAGCTTCAGACTATTCCCGACTATTTGGTGGCTAAGATCTTTTGTGCTAAATATTTCCATTCATCCTTATTCTCCTAAGCGATTCCTTTGTATGGAGAATCATTTGTAAGGGTCGGGAGGTAGCAAACAAAGGCTCGAGATAGAGGGTTAGGTCTAGTGGAAAAATAAGGATTTGGGAGGATAAATAGCTCCCCTTACCGTTATCTTTTTGTATCGTTTCTCCCAGGCCCCTAGATTGTAACCTCTGTTTTGTCAGCGACCTCATTGATGCGGAAAATAGATGTTGGAAAGAAGAGGTTATAACGGAACTATTTTCTGAGCTAGAAGGCAACCTCATCATTTCACTTCCTATCAGTCTGCGCCTTCTGGAGGACAAGGTTATCTGGCATGTTGACAAGAAAGGTTTATTCTCTGTTAAGAGTGCCTATCATGTTGCACTTGATTTGATCACGAATAGATCCCACTATGCCTCATATTCTGGGGATTCCCATAGTTCCCTCATTTGGAAATTAATTTAGGGTGCAAATGTCCCGCCGAAAGTTCCGATGAATGCGTGGCGTCTCTACATGGACATCATCCCGTCAAGGGCAAATCTAGTTAAACGTCAAATCATTTCTGATTCTAGTTGTGTGTTGTGCGGATGTGAAAATGAGATTGGTGTTCATATCCTCCGTGACTGCCCTTGCGCAGCCTGTGTTTGGAGCTTGTTGGTATTAGGACGCCCTCCCAAATGAAATGTCTCCCTCTCAGTCCATGAATGGATGTTGTCCCTGATTCTCACTTTGGACAAACACAGGTTTGATTTACTCTTGATACTCTTCCATGCCATCTAGTCTTCTCGGAATTCCATATTCTGGTCCAGCAAATGTAACCCTCTCAACGCCGTAGTCTCTCGCACGATCTCCTGGTGGCAAAACTTTCTACTAGTCACCTCCTATTCTCTGCCTCTCCACGACCCCCCCCCCCCCCGCCTCTTCATCATCATTGTGGACTAGGCCTAGACAGGGGCAGTGGAAACTAAACACTCAAGGTGTCTGGGATGCTAATAGCTTCATCGGGGGAATGGAACGGTTATCCGTGATTCTGCTAGAAAATTTATGGATGGTTTATCGAAGTCATTTACACACGTTCCTTCCCCCTTCTTTGCAAAAGCTTTTGCAATTCGATATGGTCTGGCTCTGGCGTCTTCCAAAGGTTTCCACAACTTAACCATTGAGAGTGATTCACACCAGATCATCCAAGCTCTTTCTGCCTCTTCACCGAACCTCTCCCCTTTTGGTCTTATTGTCGAGGATGTCAGAAAGATTTCATTGGGGATCACTGGAGTTAGCTTTACCCATATCAAACGCCAAGCCAAACGAGGTGGCTCATTGACTCGCTCGCTACAATCTCTCGTCCTCCAGCCCTGCTTTCTAGTTCGAAGAGCCTCTATATATTATTTTAGATATTTTATTTAAGGATTGAAACTCGGAGCCATGATTGCTCCTTTTGCTGTACTTTCACCCCTTCTCTTCAATTCAAAATCTATCGCCTTTGACTCAAAAAAAAAAAAAAAAAAAAAAAACCCTCTAGTGTGCATCAAGTATCAAGGCATTCTTTGTTTCTTAATTGATTAACTGACATTATAAGACGCGACAACTCTAGAATTTATATATCAGTACATTTTTTTCGTAACTATTCACTAGTAGAATGATCGTCGTAGATGACCATTCGATCAATTAGCATTTAGCCAATATTCTATCAATAGAGAATCTGAGCCTAAACCATCCTTGACATCGTCGGATGAGATTGGCAAAAAATGGTGGAAGAACCGGAACTTCCCGACGTCATTCCATAGACATGTGTTCAACCTAATCACTCATAACTGAGATTGAGTTTAGCTTGGCATACACATGAGGGCAGGGCGGTGGATGTGAACGAGGGCAAGTATGATTTGAGGTTTTCCTTTGACCAAATAAATTCCAGTCCAAAATAATGATCATCAATTATTGAGAGGCTGTCATTGTCATTTTCTTGTAGCCTGCCCATTTAGATTCTATATTTTTTTTTTTCTAATGATTTATGACCTTGCACAAAATAATGTTAACTAAAATCCAATAATAACTTATGCACATTGCATGTTTCATTGTCATTGGTATTTGTTAATAGGCCAAATTGAATTATTAGTTCCCATGATGATAGGGGTGGTCGGAAATAAAACTTTATTTTTCAGGCCAATTCATTCTTGTTTTTCGTCCCTTCAAGATTTAGCAGCAGAACTCATATTGTTGACGAGGACCTCTGACAAAAGCTGATAACTAGGAGGCTACTCCTAACGGTATAATTATTACTCTACTTTTACTGCATTTTACTTATGTTTTGACATCACTTGTATGATATGAGTTCAAAACTACTCACATGCGCACTCTAGAATTAGTTACTTTAGGTTTAAATTAGTAGCACTTTCCACATCACCATCACTCTATGACTTTATCACCTCTTTGGTGTCGGCCAGCATAACTTGATTCAGTGTCCAGTGGATATTTCGGGTTGGGATGTGTCAGGATTCCTTTAATTGTTATTATGTGAGGCTCATGTGATAACAATTAACAGAGAGTTGACGAAACTTTCAATTTTGAGTCTAAGTCCTAACAGATTTCACCACATTCCAACTACATTATCATCACATGGACTATTACCACAATTAAGCCTTGTTATTAAGATGACCAAACCTATTATTTTATTATTTTATATATTATACACTAGGGTTTGCTGCTGCATCATGCCATATGAGTTCACATGCCAGTGGACAAGGAAAATCAGTTTCAGTGTTTCTGAGTTCTGACATCAAGTAATTGGCTTCCAATCTCGACTCACGTAGCCACCTTCTGTTGGTTATTTTTTTAGCTAAACAACATTTGCATTGATGGGACCCTATATTTTTACAAAAGGAATGTGACAAATGCTAATCAATGTCACCAACAATTCTGATTCACACTGTTCATTTGTATTTAATCGTTTTGAAATTAATATATTCTAAGTGTGCTAAATCAATTGCGGATATGCGAGTAAGCTGATTCCGACCGTTTTTGTTTTGTGGGCTTCACAAATATAAATGACATGAATCGGTCCTTAATTGTATCATTTCCCTTCCCTCTACATTTATATGATAGTGATTTTCCACTTTATTATGTGTTTTGCTAATTAATCGAAAGCATGAACGGCTAGGATCAGAATCTAACTGTACAACCCACTTTTTGAATTAGGTGTTTTGGTTCATCAAAAAAAGAAACTCTATTAAATATACAATCAAAGAGAAGAAAAAGTTTCTGAATTTGAAAAAATTAATTCAAGAAAAACTAAAATGATTGGCCCAAAAAGTCAAGAAAATTAACATTTCCCCTCACAAGAGTTGTTGCACTTGAGTCTGCAGGTGCTGTACAGCATATGCAGCCAAAGGCAACTTTGAAAAATCTCTATTTACATTTTTAAAGTGTGAATGCAAGATATGATTTACATATGTATTTTAGTACTACTCTATGTTCCCTTGACTCTTTGGTGCAAAGGAGACTTGAAGCCATTATTTCGATGATTCTGTTGCAGCATATTTTTCTGACAAGTAATGTGGAGACCTTGGTGATCTGATTTGATCATGCTTGTCGTGATTGTGGTTGTTCTTCTGCTTCAATTCCTTCTCTGCATCACCATCTTCTACGTCTTTAATCGAATTATCGGATTCGGTTGGTGATCTTAGCTGATGATGCTTGTAGTTATGGTGGTTGTTATTTTTCTTCAATTCCTTCTGTGCATCACCATCTTTTACATCCTTGATCGAATTATCGGATTCAGATGGAACTGTGTACACGAATGCAAAGGGGACGTCTTCAAAATCCTTGAGTGGCTCTAAGGTCTTGACCACTTCGCTCATTTTTGGTCTTTGTTTCGCCCGGTGGCTGAGGCATTGGAAGGCCAATGCGGCGGCTTTTCTAGCCCCATGTTCGGAGTACTGGCCTTCGAGTCGCGGGTCCATGATCCGGCTGAGTTTCCGGGGTTCGTTTAACTTAGGCCTTGCCCACTCTACTAGGTTTTGCTCTCTGTGAGGTCTGTTTTTGTCCACAGATCTCCTTCCTGTTAGAAGCTCCAATAGTACAACTCCAAAGCTATACACATCACTCGCTGCTGTCAAGTGACCTGAAAATTAACACGAGTATTAGAAACTAATCCAAAATTAACTTGACTATGCCTTTAAGTTGCATTAGGTCGGACGGATTGGATTGGATTAATTAGTACCTGTCATGACGTATTCAGGAGCAGCATAGCCTTGTGTGCCCATAACTCTTGTGGAAACATGCGTGTCATCTCCTTCTGGACCGTCTTTTGCTAATCCGAAATCAGAGAGCTTGGGAGTACAATCCTGTAAACAAAAAGAATAGGAATATAAGCATTTAGTAAATTAGGATTAGCAATAAGGACTGGATTATTTAGTCCTGGAAGAAAAAAAGAGGGTAATACTTACAGAGTCCAACAAGATGTTTGAAGCTTTAAAATCACGATATATGACGGGTTTCTCTGCTCCATGGAGGAAGGCAAGGCCTTCTGCTGCTCCAAGCGCAATTTTCATTCTTGACGACCATGGAAGGGACATCGAATATCCTGCACAACGAGAAAATAGACATTAGGAATTGAAGGATGAATTTGTGTCTAGATGAGGCGATATTTTAAACTATTTTAATCATCAAAGTGGAGAGATTGGACTTGATATACAAGCGGCATATAAATTGTCATGATCAACTGGCCTAACGCACATCTACTGAAGAAAGAAATTTAAAAGCTTCGAAACATGAAGAGTTTGTAGAGAAATTAAACATACTTCTGAATAGCTGGTTCTCTAAACTGCCTCTTGGCATGTACTCATAAACAAGAAGTCTGTGTGCATCTTCACAGCAATAGCCTATCAGCTTCACAAGGTGTGGATGTCTCAATTGCCCAAGAAAAATCACCTCAGTCTGCAGAAAAAAAAAAAATTAAAAATTATTAAAAACAGAAGATTTATGGAAAAGCCAAGTGACTAAAATGAGAAAATGTCTCGAAATTTTCAAAAAAAGTTGCTCACCAGCCACTCCCTATGGCCCTGAGTGCCATCCAAGTCCAAGAGTTTCACCGCCACCGGCTGCGCTGCCAAACCAGGCCTAAGCTTGTCATCAAGGAACCCTTTATGCACCGGCCCGAACCCGCCTTCTCCAAGAAAGTTGCTTTGCGAGAAGCTTTGTGTGATCACTTTCAGCTCCCCAAGCGTGAAGACATGAAGATTAGAGCCTGCAAGAGATATCGAAAGATCTTCCGACAGTGTTGTGCTTGGATTGCTCAGATCAGATGGTGAAATCCTTTGGGATGAGGTTTCTTTTGCCACCACTTTCTCGCTGCTCTTTTTTGGTGGAGCCTCAGTTTTGTAGCAGTTTGGCACAAAAGACCTCCACGTGACGACCTTCTTGACCACCATATTTTACGAAAATGTTTCCGAAAACTAGAGCTCGAAACGCCTTCTTATTTCGCTTCCAAATGATTCCGGATCAATCCCAGATTTCTTCTTGTTTTGGTGAGGTTTTCTTCAGGGTTTTGGGAAAAGAATGAAAGAATTGGGTTAGAAAATGTGAGAGGAGAGAGATGTGATTAAATGAACAACTGATATGGGAGACTTTAAAGGAGTAGAGAAGGCCTAATTTTCAAACAAAAAGAACCCAACTCCCCCCAAACCAAACAAACCATCAGACCCCTTTTGAATTTTTCCATGTTTTTTTGTCACATTCTTTGCATCACCCCATATATATATATTTGAAGGTTTTAGGTATACTGTAATTATTTTTATAAAATGGGGTGATGAGTACTTAGTCCACATGGTTCTTCGACAAAAATGACACGGTTTTCCTCCTTGACCTTGACTTTTTGGCATGAGGGTAAAACGAATAGAAAAAGAGAAATAAACAGAAATTGGTTTTATGTGCTTTGGAAAGTTGGATTGGAAAGCACAATTAAGAACTTTTCTTAATGTTTTTATAATAACAAGTTTGTTTTCTGTCATTTGGCTGGATCATGAAGTGTAAAGCATTAGCTCCAAATTACCCTTATTATTACTTTTTTCTAATTAAATAATAAACCGGCTGAAGAAGAAAGGTCCTAATAGAACAAAAACAATCCAGCTATGATGTTGAAAAAATCCTCAAGAGAAACAAAGAAAATCCAGCTATTTCACACTAAGAGGTATGCAAATGGGATGGGGCTTCGTAGTAGTTGAGAGTAGACCAGGCAAACGGCTTTTGTTTTGTTGGGTGTTCGTGTCATATTTGTTATTTTAACGGACTATATCATGTCAAACTTATTATTTTAACGAGTTCTTAATAGGTGATTCGATAACAACCTAATTCGTTAAAGGTAGTTTTATGTCGGGTTAACAAGTTATGCAAGAAATTGACATGCCTAGTGTCTAGACCTGGCAAATGGGTCGTATTCATGTTTTTTTCGTGTCATACCCGTTATCTTATTGGATTCTTAATGAGTAACTCGATAAGGACCTGACTCGTTAACGAATTCTTAACTGACCTGATAACAACCCGACTCGTTTACGAATTAACTCAAAACTTATTAGTTTCATATCATTTTGTGTTAGATTAATGAGTTATGCAAGAAATTTCCAAGCCTAATTAAGAGGTTTTAGGGTGAAAAAAAAGGTTGCTGGACTTGCAATACAATTTAGCTTCTAGAACATTGGCCCCAAGACAATGCATTATCCCCAAAAGACCATGCTCACCAACTACGCGTCATCATAGAGTACAAAGGTGGAGAGCATGCTTAAATTAGGTTAATTAACGGACAATGTGTCTGTCTTTATGCATTAAAGTTCCAATATCTATTAAGTAAATTTTTTAATATAATTATACATTATTAGACCGAGTGGTATTATAATCAACCCATATTGTAAAAGATATTTTGTATCGTTCATGCATTTTATAACAAGTTTATCAATAAGTAATAGCGTTGTCAACTCACGATCAAATTGGATAAGAAAGAGTCTCCATCTCAGTATATCAGAATGTTAGGATTCTCTGTTTATATTCCTAAGTTGACTTATCGATTTTTTTTTTTTCTTTCAAAAGTGGGTCCCCATGTGGGGTGGTTGAGGTTATCATGATGCTAATGATAAATTTAATGTTTAATCTTTGTTTTAAAGGAAAACTAATGAAAAATATTTGAAAATTTTGAGTTTTAATGATAAGGACAAAATAAAAGGTAAAATGAATAGTACCAGGATTGACTTTTTAGTGTAAAAATATGATTTTTTGTTAAAATGAACGGTACCGTGGAATTTTCTTTAAAACTCTTTTATTTTAAAACGAGTGTTTCAAACAGATTAGTAGGGAGGGATATTGTCAATGAACTAGGTCGACTGAATGGCTGTGTGAAAGAAACTTCGATCGGCAGATGAATATGGAATTACAATCATATCCATCAGAGATGTCACAAATAGGTGTGTGGTGCGGGAACATTGTTTCATGAATGTCAATGAGCATTGTTGTCATTTGGGAGCAGAAAGCAACGACTGCTTCATTTACCTTCTAATATTGTCACTAGAAACTTGCGAAGCAAGAATATTTGAAAATTCAAATGACGACTTAATTTACTTTAAGGGAGTTTTGGTAAATAAAAAGATTAATTTCTTTTGACTTTACTCAGTAAATTGGAAAAAGAAACGTGTAGGAATGTAATGTAATATGCATTCAATAATATATATAAAAACTGACGACCGAAGTTGGAGGATCATTCATTTAAACTACATTTGTAAATCACATGCTATGACGATTGATGGTTCGATTTTTTTCGTAAATTTTAAATCATTAAAGAAAACATTCAGCTATCAACCGTCGTATAATGTAATCTACAAAATACGGTCCAAAAACATAATCTTCTTAGCATTGTCCAAAAGTGAATGTTAATAATATTGCATGAAAAAACACGAAAGACACAACTTTTATACAAATTTTCATTTTCAATAAGTCATTTCATAAATTTTCCCTCTTCAAAAAAGTTGTTTTGAATTGAGCACAATTTATAATTTTGTTATTTTAATTTTTTACATCGTGTAGTATTGCATGATAAGCATGATGATTAAGGATACAATCTAGCTGAGTAAAAGTTGGAAAAAGAAACGCGTAGGAATGTAATTTAAATTGAATTCAATAAATATATAAAAACTGACGATCGATGTTAAAGGGACCATTCATTTAAACTACACTTGTAAATCACATGCTATGACGATTGATGGCTGGATTTCTTTCTTAAAATTTTAAATCATTAAATAAAACATTCAGCTATCAACCGTCCTATCATGTAATTTACAAAATACGGTCTAATAACATAGTCTTCTTAGCATTGTCCAAAAGTGAATGTTAATAATATTGCATGAAAAACATGAAAGACGCAACTTTTATACAAATTTTCATTTTCAATAAGTCATTTCGTAAATTTTCCCTCTTCAAAAAAGTTGTTTTAAATTGAACACAATTTATAATTTTTGTTATTTTTATTTTTATTTTTTACATCGTGTAGTATTACATGATAAACATGATGATTAAGGATACAATCTAGCTGAGTAAAAGTTGGAAAAAGAAACGCGTAGGAATGTAATTTAAATTGAATTCAAAAAATATATATAAACTGACGACCGATGTTAGAGGGACCATTCATTTAAACTACATTTGTAAATCACATGCTATGACGATTGATGGTTGGATTTCTTTCTTAAAATTTTAAATCATTAAAGAAAACATTAAGCTATCAACCATCGTATTATGTAATCTACAAAATACGGTCTAAAAACATAGTCTTCTTAGCATTGTCCAAAAGTGAATGTTAATAATATTGCATGAAAAACACGAAAGACACAAATTTTAAACAAATTTTCATTTTCAATAAGTCATTTCATAAATTTTCCCTCTTCAAAAAAGTTGTTTTGAATTGAACACAATTTATAATTTTGGTATTTTTATTTTTTACATCATGTAGTATTGCATGATAAACATGATGATTAAGGATACAATCTAGCTGAGTAAAAGTTGGAAAAAGAAACGCGTAGGAATTTAATTTAAATTGAATTCAATAAATATATAAAAACTGACGACCGATGTTAAAGGGACCATTCATTTAAACTACATTTGTAAATCACATGCTAGGACGATTGATGGTTAGATTTTTTTCTTAAATTTTAAATCATTAAAGAAAACATTAAGCTACCAACCGTCGTATTATGTAATCTACAAAATACGGTCTAAAAATGTAGTCTTCTTAGCATTTTCCAAAAGTGAATGTTAATAATATTGCATGAAAAACATGAAACAAATTTTCATTTTCAATAAGTCATTTCATAAATTTTCCCTCTTCAAAAAAGTTGTTTTGAATTGAACACAATTTATAATTTTGTTAATTTTATTTTTTATATCGTGTAGTATTGCTTGATAAACATGATGATTAAGGATATAATCTAGCTGCAGCTAGCATTTAACAACTATAAGCCAATAAAATTAATTTAATTAACCCTTTGTGGTATTCTATCAGACGTCGGGGCAGCAAGCTAATGAGGAAATTAACCTAACTTATTTGCCCTAGCCTTCCTAGCCAGGCAATGATCAAACTGTCCCTCTCAAGTCTCAAGTGATCACTGCTTTATCAAACTTCATGATAAATTAATATCCACTTGGGCACTACTTTATCATCCCTTATTATCTTAGTAATCTTAATCACTTATCCTTTTGTTAAGTAAGACCGTGAAGGGGTGCGCAACGGGTGAAAATGATGTGCATTACTAATTTTCCTTTATAATCTCATATTCTGAGGAAATTAATTGGTTAAAAATTGTATTGATGAATTAATCAAATCAATGAAAACGATATTAAGATGCTAGAGAAATGCTAAAGAGACTTTTTGAACGATCTTATGCTTTTTGACATAATGTTTAATTAATAATGTTGCCCTAGAAATTAGCTTTAAATTATGAGGTGGCAGATAATCTTGCTTTAAGGAGAGACTTTTCAGTGTACCTAGAACATGGACGGCATGCCCATGTCATTATATAATCGAAACCCCGTATTCCAGATGCATTGAAAAATCTATTCACTAAAAAAAAGTCTCCTCAACATTTCTCTAAGGTACTGTTTGAAAAGTGTCCATTCATATTTTGGTAAGAGTATTGTTTTAGTAACAAACACTAAATAGAATGCATCCACACACGCATGACACAAAACAATGAATTTCACGTGAGTAAATGAAAATCTATTGTTTTATGCGTGGTAATCTTTCAAATATGTAAAAAAATTAGAATGGATCAATATTCAATCTAACTACAACTAAACCGACCTTCTCTATGGACATGGAACTTTACCAAACCACCAAACACAAATCAAACTTCTTGAAAGCGTACGCGGTTATGTAATACATCTTTGACTTGAGATCAACTTTCTTCTAAGATATTCCTTCATGTAGACAAATAAACGGCCGCGTATGATCATAAAAAATAAAAAAAAAAGAAAAGGAAATACTCAATTTGTATGAATAATAAATACGGTGTTATAATAAGGTTGTACTATAATCGTCGAAGTTTGCAATTCAAAGTTACATAATAAGAATTAGATTATAGTTAATAATACAAAATGACATTGTTATGACTTATGTAATATCGTCATATACACGGTCGTAGTTGTTATGCGTATATATACATGCATAGATTTATATAGATGTGATATCATCACAACGGCTCTGCGGAGTTA